GAAATCGAGTAGGAAACGTTTCAACATTTAGTTAATGGTTAATGAACAACAACACAAATACACATGAATCACACGAATTAACTAAAACGATATTTCTTTATGTTTAATTATGAATTATTATTTCGGTTTTTTAACAATTAATTACAAATATTTTATCACTAGTTCACTATTATTGGAATTCATAGATCACAATATGCGATGGCAACTGAAGAGCTTGGAACAACAACCACTTTTTAAAATTGTTCAGGACCGTCAAAAGAAAATCCATTATCCCGTTTATTACTATAGACGGGGAAAAATGCGTTTTGTAGTATTTTTGTAGGTATTAGTCTGATTTTACTGTTTGTTCCGCCAAAATGTAGATAATTTTTTCGTGAACATTTTCCCATGAAAAAACAATTTTTGATAAAAATGGATTTATCTGGTTGTTGTTCTAAGCCCTTCAATTGGTATTTTTACTGCACCAATAGGTTAAATGTCTTCGTCTTATTGTCCTTTTCGTTTAAAGTTATCGACTTTTGTTTTAATAGAAATAATGTAATGTAATATATTATATTTTTTAAGATAAATTTTTCATGAAAAGTATGTCATGTTATATATTATAGGAATAAAAATACCTTGACAAACATTTTTTGAAAATTCTCGAGTAAATTAGCAGCTTAAAGCTTATTAGCTTATACGATAATTATTACTATATGATCAATTTTGACCCGTTTTGTGTTCTATGAATAATTTCGTTGTTCTGACCGAGATAACGATTTCTTGATGGACAGTCAACAAAGGATCAATTGAAATATTGATAAAAAAAAAAACCTACATATTTCTATGGTAGTTAAACATATTGTCCTTGTGGTTATTTGCGAAAGTTATTGGAAAATTGAATGAAAGTAAAATTCTTAGTTGCATAAATATTGTGCGAAGCAATAACATAATAATAATATAGTGTATAGTAAATAGACGAATATTGTATACAGTGTTGTTGTACTATACAATTACATGTAATATACTATGTATTATAAAACAAAAATAAGAGCCCTGCGCGTCAGGATGTCGGACCGATGTTCCAAATCCCACGACCTACATTTTTTATGGATATTGCAAAACTAAAATAAATGCGTTTAGGATACGACATAGGCCGCGATACTATTAAGTAATAACTAATAACCCGTTTTTGGACACACAACAATACAATATTACTATTTGTAACACTAATATCATATCAAAAGTGATAATTTTGATTTTGGTTGCCGTAAATCGACACAGGATACAAGGACGCCCGCAAGAATACATTACCAAGAGGAAGGGCAACTAAATTGTATTGTACGTTGTAACTATATTGCCGCCCCGGTAGAACAATGACACAACTGCAAAATTTGGTAAAATGGACTAAATGCTTTAATGTGTTTAGATATAGCGAACGCATAAGGTAGAAAAACGGCGGAACTGTAGTTGTAATAATTAATTCTGCATTCATGAATTATTAACATTTTAGTGAAAAATAATTTGTTTTTTTGGTTTTCCTGTAAAATTTCAATTATTGCAGTTGTGTCATTGTTCTACCGGGGCGGCGATATGATAAATAATAATATTGATATGCACTCACACTTTTTATTTGAAATTGATTGTGTAATGAAGTAAGTAATGAAAAGGTTTTACATCAATAAATGTATAAAAAAAATACCCTCTCAGCATCGCATTGAAGCTAAGGTAATAAAAATGTTGTGTTAGTTACACAATGCTCGTAAATATATTTTTTTTTATTTTTTCTTTTAATTTAGATTTAACATATGTTTAACATATGTTAACTAGTAATTATTGCGACCAATTTGGTTTGAATCTTTCTGAGGCGCACGAGATCTGTAAACAACGATAAACAAGGGCTTACGTTAATAGTTATAATTTGAGAGCAGCTGATAAAACTGCATAAATACAATAACATTATAAAGCAATAGCCAATATGCTAAATAGCCGTATTATATTGCTGAAAAAATCGTCGTTAAATATTGTTTATGCACCGTTTACAAATAACAAAAAATAAAAACAAAATTCGTTATCTCGTTAAACATATTTTTACCATTATTGCGCTTGTTTAAGAATACTAATAAATAATTATAATAATCCTAATTATTCCTATTTCAGTAATGACGTGTGTTTGTGCGAACGTAACGCCGATAACGTTCTATTTACACTTAATTGTGATGTACATGCGTTTTTTGTGCGCGTATAAAAATAATATATTATGTACATGTAATACACACATACTGTAATTCTATATAGCGACCATAAACAGTTGGACGATTAGGAAAATAACCTGTGGTTGACGGTTTAAACGATATCAAGGTTCTGATAAAAAAAAACGTTAACCTTTAGTGAAAAGAGAGCATAATATTGTATTTTCGCGACATCCAAGCCGAATCCTATTTCAGATTAAAAGCAAATGGATTACAAAATTGTATAATTATGTGCAATTAATATAATGTGGATGGTATGGTTGGTGAGGTCATACGCGATTCAAGTGTAGTGCAGTATTGTGTTATACAGTAAAGAAAACAATAATAATTAGTATTTATTTCACCTGGTTGTAGTTTACCGAAATAATTTATTTATTTTTTGTGTTTTAATGTTTTAATGCTATTTTCCCCGTTAAAATATTATACCAAACTGCAATGTGAACTCGCTCGGTTTTCTTATAATCAAACAGTATTATATAGTGTAACACCGACGATTCGATCGAGTTCTTGCAACGTCGTCAAATGGTTTTACAATTGAGTAATCTAATCATTTTACGAGCCGATGAGCTGTTTGCGGTCGTCATTCGTTAATAGATCGTACACACGGTCGAATTAAAAATTGTAATCTAAGTTATTAAAAAAAACAACAGTGTAATAGCATACGTGACGAGTATTTGGAAGCACCAATTTTGATGGTACTAATTTTGTAACTATAATAGAAACCTAACCGGTCAGATTAGTAGTGTCCAGTGCGCGCTAATGAACTAGTTTTCATTATCATAAAGGCCCAATTGTCATACGTATACATGTGGCTGTCAAAATCGTCATTTTACTTGCCCGGCGTGCCTAATATTTACACCAGTGTCTTAAATTTGTGTTTTTTTAGTTTCAATCCGTGGAACAATGATATTTTTGTTTGTGTCTGTCCACGCGATGTCTACAAAAAGAGTTAAGAAACCTAGGTTTTTCTTATATGTAAAGTTTATCGATCAGAAATCATAAGCGGTTGGTATTTTGAGGCCTGAGGATCAAACATTGAAAAACTTACCCTTTTTTTATAATTTCGCAAAAATAGTTTAACTAGTCGTATACACCAAAAAGCAAAACATTGAGATTGACGCTCTCTTATGTAAGTAATTACACGTTTTGTATCTTATTAGTGTACCATAGTCCATACGCATATTGAATATATTTATTTTGTTTTAATGTCTTACCTTCACAATTTATCAGACATTAATTTTTTTAGTCGGTTGTTATTATTTTACTTTTTAGATTAATCGTATTTTTATACCCAACTTGACTACATCTTAGACTTGGACTGGGAGTGGTTCAGCTTACTGTTCTAGGCCAGCACGAGTTCCAAAAATGTGTACTTGAGGCAAGCTACAGAGTTGGACAAAATCTGGAATATTTTTAATTCTAATAATCCCATAACCCACAATCTTAAAACTAGGTAATTGAAAATAAAAATAAATTTTTGAATGAAAATATTTTTTATTTTAAAGTTTGAATTTTTTGATTCCCAAAATTTTTAATAGCTATTTACATTTGGCGAAATTGAAGAGGTGGCACAATGGCCCGGATTTGTCCGATAGCACCTCTTTATCTTAGTTTATGCTCGGTCATTCGATTACTGTTACATGAATTGCAACAATACAAGAACCCTGTGTTATAATCATCGCTGTTTTGTAAACGATATTCATACAGCCAAAAAGACATCACAATGCACCTAAAATCTCTTCATAATATAGATTTAATAAATCGACTTAGTGTTTTTTTTCTCCTCAAGACACTAGTTGTGGTTTATACGTCACAAATACAAAAATTAGCTCTGTCTTAACAGTTAAATTTGGTATATCATAGGTATATAATGTCGAAACACAATGTATAACAAATTTGTTTGTGTTTCGAAACTGACTATCTACTGGAAACAACTGAAAATTTAACTGTATTATCCACAGACGGGTTATTCACATTCAAAACGATAGTACCGTATAAGGTCTGACGCTAGGAAGTGATTGTAATTGTGTATGAAGCGCTACAACCGGTGAACCGTGAAGTGACATCGGCTGACTGCTGTTGCCGCCGTTACTGCGTTAGTGACAATTCAGAATAAAAAAATATATTCAAGTTCACTCACCCTAATATTTATCAATCATTTAGCTATCATTTAACGTTGTAATTGAAACAAATAATAATATTTAGCCTACTGAAATTATTTCAATTGATTATGCCTGATGTAGCACTTGAACGGTAACAATTATATTCACAATACGATCAGTATTATAATTACACATTTGATATTCCAAACAAAAGAAAAGCACAATATTAAAATCATTAAATTTTCGAACGTTGAAATTGTAAATAACGACGTTTTGCACAAACGCCGACCTCGCGGACATGGTCTGACTTACGATAACCACTTATTTTGGTATACTTACATATATTGTTTACTTTGGTTATGAAAATTTCTCGGTATACGTTGCCTCTTATCGCCATGGTCAATTACTTTTGAATAAATATGAATGCCTCGAGAAAAATCGAAAAAAATAATCGCCAATGCTCTGCCGTAATTAAATACATGACGGTAGTCATCATTAACTTATGAAATATATGTCAGGAAATCCGCTTTTGTTTTTGTTAACTCTGCAGGGTATAATTTTGAAATTGTCTTTCCGTCTCGACCGTAGTAGTTAATTTATTTGTATTTACCTAAGTACCCGCTTTGGGCTATAGCTAAATAATTATTGTTTTGCTTTTGTGTTTTAGTTGGACGAAGTGATCCGTTGGAGCTACATAACCATTATTTCAGTCTAGTCGACGCTGCCATAAGGCGCCGCCACTCCTTTCACAATTGTGGCATCTGTCACAAGAGATTGGCTAACGATGGCGTTGGTCGTACCGGAAGAATCACAAAGGCCGTACCGATTCGGCATGACGTTGGTGTGCATTGGTGCGCTGTTCAACTGGCTAGGGTTGGCAGACCATCACACCAAACCGGTGCCTGCGGTCAGATACATTGGAGTTGGTCTGGTCGCCTCCGGTGCTGTGCTCATATGTATGGCCATGTGCTTTTGGATGAACAGCGTACGCGAAGAAGAAGATGACGTGAGTAACGATATAATATTATAATTTACAATTTACTTGTGTTAACGCCCCGACACCTATTGACCATGAAAAATACACTACGTTAATTGAATACGCCTTCCGGCACTGTCTTAATATTTTCGAAACGTCACATTACACATATCTGACTCGTTAACCCGAAAGGTACACGACGCCCGCAGCCGATGTCCTCTAAAAAGGCTTTTTAGTGTCCCGACGAGCAATATATATATATATATATATAATAATTTGTAATATAATATTATATTTTGAAACGCTTCCCGACTCAGTACATTTACATTATATGCTGATTAAAATAATGTCTTAGTTTAATAACGGGTTTGGCTTATAGTTCAGTTTAGCTTTACGACTGTTAAAAACATTTGCTGCTATTACACAACTTTTCCATTATTATCTATGTGATCTCTGTTTTGATCAATTCTTCTTAGTTCGTTTAACGTATTTCTTCCGTATTTTCATTTTTTCTAACGTTTCTAAAAATGTTTTTTTCGTCTTTGCAAGTTTTCAGTTTATTACCGCTCTTAACATTTCATTGCTATAACATATTTATTTATTCTTTAACCCTTGGCAAATTTCTTATAAATGACATACCTTAATTTTTGTTCTCTTAGCCAAAATATGTCTTTGTCTACATTCGATAACAACTTGTGTGTTAAGAATCTTTAAAACTATAACGAATTGTTTGGACATCATCTAAAAAAGAGTTTAAGAGGCCCAAAATATTGGAAGCCCAGAGGACGATCACCCTCTCGCTCTATAGTCCCCTCTTCATCTGGCTATTGGCCTTTGTAAACGAAGGGGTGGAGCTGAATTTTAAAATAAATATTTTCAAGATATTAGTATTTATCATAGTTTATTAAATATTCAATAAATAATGTAATATTTATAAATGTACTAAACGTGAACTGTGTGCAATAAAATTATTAAAGGTTTTCTTTTTTCGTGTGATTAATTTGTAATCCTTTAAAGGTTAACGACTATACCTTATATATACGTCCTAGTCCCACTATTGTCGTTGATCAGTAAAACCCTATATTGTCATTAGCTGTGGTACTTAGCAAATTAGACGTCATGTTATCTTGACTTAAGAAAATTGTATCGTTATAAACTTCTGTCGCTTTTGTTTTATAATCTACAACCTGGTAGTTAACCGATTTATTTAAGCTACAGATTATGTTTAAGTAGAAAATACTAATACATCAACTGTGGCAACAATATTTTATAGATAGGACGTCATTTCTTTGGATTTCATATAGTAGTAAAACTATAAAGAAATCCATAATAGGGACGGAAAGTCAATAACACGCGCATCATTTTTCTATGGTGTAATTTTATCTTTGTTTAAACAACGTTTAATAAACATCAATTTGTCGATTCTACCAATTCAAAATCAACCTATATTGTGTAACAAAACTTATTTACATGATTTTTAAACAATTACCGATAGCTATCTTACTTTATTACAGTACGACATAATATACAGTTAAAAAGTGTCGAAACATCTTAAGGTTTACTTTTTTCTATAGATTACATTATTTACTTTTTATCTTATTTAATGGATGTAAGTTTATTACGTAAATAGGCACTTAAAAGGTCTGATGCTTTATTTATTGTGGGGGCCTTGTTTTTTAATACATATTTAAGATCCGTTTTAAATTGTATTCTTAGTTCAACGAACTCTTTTTCACTATTTTTATATTAATTTAATGAAAAACATTTTTTTTAGCAAAAAATGTCAGTTTTATATTAAGTTTGCAATTAAATTTTAAAAAATGTCAGACCTATTACTCATAATACCAAGTCAGAACAATTATCTTATTACGTATTATCTGCGTTTTCTGCGATTAGTTACTGCACTGGCGCGTTATTTTAAATGTATTAGCAAAATTACTAACATAAAATAACACTACATGGACACACTTGGCCTAGTATGGTTTTCCTATATACCAGGCAAATGCACTCACCGCGTACCGTATATCTCAGTAACCATATAATAATATGCACGTTGTCTACAGTAGTTCCAGTGTGTTCTACATAGGTAAAAAGAAATGAGGAAACCTTCGTTCATGGTTATTTGGCAATCGGTGGTGAGCGTGACGGGTTTTTTACTTTTTTACTTAGCCCGTACTAGTACGCCTGCGTTCATTTCTCACAAAGAGGGAGGCGGTAATAATTTCTCAGAGTGATATAAATGTAATTTGACACGTTTTCTGATTTTATCTCGAACAATATGTTTGTCAAACTGCGTTGCTGTTCAAGTTTCACACAGGATAAAAGATACTGTCGTTTTATATTATATATTTACCGATTTACATTACACGAGTAGTGGTTCATTGTACCTAACTACAAGTACATAATATATTTTATCATTCCGCCAGTAAAGAATTAAAAAAAAAAAAGTATAATATATTTAATTTTCATATTAAATACTGCTGTAAAAATTGTTAAAACATTTTCAAATAGAAATAATTCATTTACTATAAATAATCTTTAAATTGTACCTTGATCGATGCCTTGTTGATGTTATTAACAATCAAATGTTTTTTTTTAAAACTTAAATAGGAATATTTTTAGGACTGTACTATTGTTAAAAGTTGAAACATATGTTTTTGTACAAAAGTAAGGCCTATGTGCGTTATAATTATTGAAAAATAAATAAACATAAAAATAGATACCTATTATATTAATACACGAGTTTATAAACTTTAGCTCAATGTTAAATTTTATTGAAAAATTGCTTTTATAATGTACATTAAATAATGTATCCTAATAATATGTATTAAAACTAATAGTAAATAGGTAGGTACAGCAATATTGTGCACCTACGAAACAACATTTACCGATTGAAACAAGGAGGAGAAGTACATAAAAGCGATACATTGTACGCAATATTTCTTCATACACTAAAAATAAAAGATTTAAAATAGCGCCTTCCCGATTTTGTATAGGCCACACAATGTTTGCATCAATAATCATTACGTCTTATTTAAGGGGAACGTAACTAACCCAATTGTATACAAATGAAGACTATGTATCCTTATCGAAAATGGAACAATTTAGCATTCATACAGTGTATATGTGCGCGCGTTTGGTCGTTCATCTGCACAATTATTCCCATATCGGTCGGTACCTATAGCGCCTATGCGGATTTGAATTTTTTCCTAAAATCGTATTAGAGTTGGTTTGTTCAATCGACTAGATGATCAGATTAAATGTTGGTGGCGACGCGCGAGAGATAGGGTGATAATTATTTCATTTTGACGGGAATTTTATTTTTTTCTAAATAATTATGTTCCTATAATTGGGAATCCGATTTGTTCACAGAGCATAATGTTAAATTTGGTTTTACAGGATTCGACGGACCACGTGCACGTGATTTCGGTAGATCCGCCGGTGCGGCTGGACGAGAAGCCTCCGGATTACGCTTCGGTGGTGGACGTTCCTCCCAGCTACGACGACGCGATCAAGCTGGATCCTCAACGGTTGTTGGTCGAGAGCCAGATGATGGACACGTGCGCCATAACGATACCGGACGACAGCTGCGACAAGACGAATATCAATAATTCTTCGTCCGGCGGCACGGTTACAGGCGGACAACAGTCCACGTTGGCCCAAGCCATCAGGAAAAGTATACGCGACATACGTAAACAGCTGACGAACACTGTGAACGATTCAGCATCGACTGATGACAATGAACAGCAGCAACAGAGCCACAGCCTAAACGGTTCGAATGACGGCGCGGCCACGGGCAAATCGACGACAAACACGACGCACGCCTCAACCAATTAAAAAAAAAATATATATTAACAAATAATATTTTGGCGTTAAAAAGTTTTCAACAAGACTGAAATAATAATGATATTAGAGTATAAGGATTTTAATCTTGATTATTATTATTATAATATAATACGCGATATTATCGCAATAATTAACAATTGCGACGTATTATTATGATTTTTAACGTAATATACCTAATCTTTCATTTTCCTAACTTGCGGGAAACATAATTGTGTTTGAAAAATAATGGTTTTTAAATAAATTATTATATTTTTAAGATGCGTATTTTGCTATAAATTATAAATACAATTTGTATCGCCTATTGATACGACGTACATAAACGTGTTGCTACAAATTACTTTGTGTATACAATACCATAAGTGCCTAATCATTTTTCTGTTTACTTGAAAAAGACTACAATCATAAGGTTAGCTTTAGTAACACAAATGAGTATAATATACATAATAATTGTTACTTATATATTAAACACTGTCTCCGCGATTATTTTTAGAAAAAGATAAAATAATATTTTTATAAATATTAATGCTATGTACATTTGAAAAAATTGCAGACAAAAATGTGATATAATGTAACTATTGTATAATTTTTTAACGTTCTCTTTTGTAATACATTGTGTTATTGCTCTACAGACTACACCATTATGAAAAATAGTTGTACATATAAAAATTATAATAAATATTATTACTATTAAATATTGTTTACAAAAAATATCAAGTATTTATGAATAATGAAATTTGAATAGAAATTCAGTTATTTGTTGTTAAGGTGCATCTACACTTGCATATTTTTTATTGAAAACAACACATTCTAATATTAATCGTAGTATTTTGAAAACAGACATAGATTTTTCAATACTTGCTAGTAGCATGATGTAGGGCGTAGGTACCTATTGATCGAAGTACATTTTTAATGTTATTGTAAACAAGTAAAATCCAATAAAAATCTTATAAAATTGCAATTTTTCTCAAAGATATTGTAAATAAATTAAAAAAAATATATTAAGAATCCAAATGTTTTTATACAAAAATTGAACCTGTATGGGTTATAAAGTAAAAAAAAATTAAATACCAAAATAGAACCCGTTCCTATGTTAGAATATATATGTTTAAAAATATAAACTTACTGTTAAATTTTATTGAAAAATTGCTTTTACAATGCGCCCTATATAAACTAAGATGATAAAATGCTAGTATTTGATGTCCCATAAGCTGAAAATGGTTTTTTAAACATTGTTTTTTTCTGGATTTTTACTAATTGACAATCTTATGAATATTAAGCTAATTAAAAAAATCTTTATTTTCAAGAATTTATAACATTTCATATAAAACCTAGAAGGTTATTAGTTGTTTGTATACGTATATATTATATTTTTCAAACATTATATATGATCAATCTAGTTTAGTTACAACAGTAATTATTATAAGGTTTTTTGAAGTAGTATTTTATCTACTTTCTGTAACAGTGTCATACATATCAAAATGCAATTTAACATCAAAGTAAAAAAGTTATGCTCATATTTTAAAAAGCTTCGAGTGATTAAAAATGCATTATTATAATAAAATAAGCAAAAATTATTTTGTGAAATGAAAAATAAAGAATTACTTAAAGACTACTTTTACTTTTTGACACATTACTAATATTAAATACTATGCACATTTTGGGGGTGAATGAGTTGACTTTATTAACTTTTGTCATAAATGTATTAATTGCATACAATTGCAGTTTAATACAGATGCTACTTAAGTAAATTGGTCCACAGGAAAAAAAGGTAATATGTCTTTACAAATACAAATTCTTCATAATAAATTATTTTTTTTACTTGGTAGATTTGTTAACATAATATAATTTCTGAACATAGCAAAAATGTGATATGAAATATGAAAATTACCCATAATTGTACTTGAAACAAATTATAGAACTAAAAATAACAGTTAAAGTAAACTTATCAAGAAACTGTACACGGATTTATCAATAATAATCTTTTAAAATTAATTATTGTCATTATTATTTCTTTAAAATTATTTAAGAATTTACTAACTAAATATACACAAAATTATAATTTAATTAATGCGCAACAAGAAGGCAAACTTATTTGGTTAAAGATTATATCTACATAGAAAAACTCAATGACGATGTACTAGGAGTTGCTCTTGAAGATTGGCTGCTGCTTTCTCTGTTATCGTTTGAGTTTATTTGCTAAAAAATATATATTGATAAATTAGCCTTACGTAACATATAAAATATGAGTTTAACTAATAAGATGTTAAAATTCTTACTTCGTGAAGTACCATTAAAGCATTCAAAGTGTCTGGGAAAACCGGCCTTACAGAATTAATTTCCATTGGTGTTAAATGATTCAGAGATGCCTGTACCCGACCATCTTTAATAAACAAATCAACAGACGATCGTAGTTTTGCTATTCTCAAATCCCATAAATCCTGTGAAAAAAAAAATTATTCATAATTAGTATTTTCTATTTTAATTTTTTTAACTGATTATTTTAAGATAACTGATTTAGGCACACACTGATGGAAGTTTGTTTAAATAAATTTTTAAAATTTGTGTATAGACTTGATTTAAATAATTTGTTTTACAATGTAGATTTAGACACTAAAAGTTGTACAAAAATTGATACATTAATTGGTTTATGTAAATAAGCATCACTTTACAATATGTTTGAAAAACCACTAAATGTCTACTGATTCATTTAACCTTAAGCGAACATTATTATTTTATCTTATTTGGTTATAATTATATTAATCAAGTTTTATTTGATTTAAAACATGAGTAACATCAACATGAGAATTATCAACTGAAACAATATTTTTAATAATCACAAGGCCGTTTTTAGGTTTTGCGAGGCCTACATATTCATTAATAAATTATTTTACAAGCAAGTATAATACAATCAATCAAGACCTTTAGCAGTCTACCCCTAAGGACGGTAATAATATTGACCAAAAAAAAAAATTTATAATTACATTATTTTAACTAAATATTAGTTAACAACAGTCATTATATATTTGTTTGTGTGCCTTAATCTTTGAGAGATCTTGTAGGCGATATTTACACCGCCTATTTTAAAGGAAAAAAAACAAGCAACATCAAAAAAGCATCAAGTTAGTCTAGAAAGACTGTCAGGTATTCTCCAGTTACAAAACATAAAGTATAAGCCAAAAATGGTTCTAACGAAAGTTTTAAAGCAGTACTAGCTGCGCCTTGCAAGCGATGGTGAACTTTTAAATAAGTGAGCGCTTGAGGTTAACGTACACTTTATAAATTTAACAAAAGAATTTTAAATATTAATTTCTTTACATTTATGAGTACAAGTAGCTACAAGTAAATTACTTTAACAGCTGTTTTAATTTCATTCGCTTTTGGAATATCTTCACTTGCAACAGTTAACAACATTTGAGTGATTTCCAAATAATAGTTAGATGGTAGCTTTGTAAAAAACCTAAAAAGTAAAGTAATTAAAACAAAGATATAGATAACTCAGGAACATTTTAATATTAATATCAATACTTGGATGTTTTTTCCTCTTCAATCTTCTCTTGTAACTTCTCAACATTCATCCAATCGGGAGCGAGAATTCTGCAAATTTTCTTTTGCCGCAAATTCAGCGCAGTCCAAACTGGTACGTTAAGTGGTAATCCGGCACGAAATGGACCGAACGAACCACATATTAAATGAACGTGGCTAGCATGGTTGAAATTCGGAACAATCTGTATGATTTCGTTTTCGGCCAAAAATTCTATTTCACTAGGGTGCATCATCGTGATCGATATATATTATACAAAAAAAACAATAAATTATATGTTATATGGAAATATTCAAACGCGTCTAAATCCTGAGTTTTGATTTCATGGTTTATATTTTCTAAATTGAGAAGCTATAACTTAAAATAATAATGCATTGCGTTTAAATGTGTTATCATCATAATGGTTATCAAATATCAGAAAATGGCGGGATTTCCATTCAATATAACCACAATATTTCAGCTGTTTTATAATAATTTATTATCAAAAAAATATTATGTGACCTGATAAGCCGTACTAGACGGCCTACGCTAAAAATTAAGTAAACTAAAAAAACATAATTCGGGTCCTAAATTATAAAAATAATTGTTCATTAAACGAACAATAGTAATAACTAAGATGTGTACATTTTTTTAATAATAGTTGTAGACATCATTTATCAAAGTAAACTTTCTTATCGCCAAAAAAAAATTGATAAAACGTTATCATCGGCAACAGAAAATTATCATTATATTGAAAGTTGCCCTGATGTTGTTGGCTTAGCTATTGCTGTATTATCAATTATGTTACTTGTGTTTTAACTCTGAAGTCTAAATTGGGATGTCAAAAACATTAGTCAAGACAGAATTAAGTATTATAATTTATTTACGAACTTATAAGCCTTCAAATTTAAGTCAGTTTGACGTCAACTATTTAAAAATATCAAGAATTCTATCAATACCTTAAAAACTTCAGTCTCAAGAATTTGTATAAAGATAATTTTAAAGTAAGTAAAACATTGTGTATTCAATTTTTTTTAGTTCAGATTGTGGCAGGAATAGGCTGGGATAAGTGTATATTGGCTCGGGTCATTATAAAATTGAGCATACAAATGACTAAAAAATCAGTCTTCCTCAGTTAGTTTGTATAAAAATCTCAAGTGACCCAAAACCTAAGAATTCCCGCAAGTGATCATCCTCTTGCCCGTTCTGCCAATGGATTGTTGAACATTAATTCACACCAGTTATACTAATTTTCTCTTAATTTTTGCTTAAGATTAATTAGCTTTATAACTATAAATGAACTTTGCATTGAACTGTAAATATATATATATACCTGTATAAACATTTATTAGGGTGGCTCTTATATTAGTTTTTTTGTGAAATTCCACTTTGAATACCTATCAATCAGCTCTAAATAGGAATTAAATAGCGCCAACATGATTTCAGATTTTTATTACATCCCATGAGTCTCGCTGTTTGCACGTCAAATTCATAATTATGTGGAAAAATGTATAATTTTACATTAGATCCAAATTAAGTTTAATACCTTAATTTTGTTAATTTAGATTTTAGGCTATTTATTTGGTTTTAAGTTCTTAAACATAATTTTTAACAGGTCCCAAGTAATCTTTGTTTTGTTTATAAGCACTTGTTTTCAAATTTTATGACATGGCATTAAACATTTTATAGATTATTTTATTATTTGCTTGAATAATTTTTTTCAGTCGGAAGATTGTGTTATCAGTTATACAATGCGTCATTTACTAAGACACATTTTTTCAACGAGCCAGTGTTATTGCAAATTGTATTTTCCTGAGTTCAGAATGTGCTTGCCTGCAGTACATCCATCCAACACGCCGCTGTTATCTACACGCCTGTACAAAAATAAACGAATTGTAACGACTGTCTATTTTGCTGATGATCGACTTTCTAAGCGCCATAAGTTAAAAAACGCCATTCGAGACAAACAAATTATTATTAAAAAAACCAAGGAAAAATTACAAACCAAAAGCAAAATCATATTTGACGATATAAAAATGACAAAAATAAATATACACGAAACCATAAAAGAAAATGTCTGGACCATACCGAACATGCTATGTATGACACGGATAGCTCTAAGTCCATTTTTGGGTTACCTTATTGTCAATGAATATTTTGACTATGCTCTATGTTTTGTCTCCATTGCTAGTATAACTGACTGGATTGACGGTTGGATCGCTAGAAGCTTTGAAGGTCAAAAATCAAAATTAGGTAGCTTTTTAGACCCAATGGCCGATAAAGTACTTGTAGGCACTATGTTTCTAACATTAACTTACATAGATTTAATACCAATTCACCTGACTGGTCTAATTATTTTGAGAGATTTATTTTTGATTGGGGCCGCTTTTCATATTCGCTATATATCCATACCAAAGCCTATAACGTTCTACAAATTTTTTGATGTCACAAATTCAAATGTTCAGTTAGCACCAACATTCATTAGTAAAGTCAATACTACAGTTCAGTTACTTATGGTATGTGCTACTCTCGCTGCTCCAGTGTTTGATTTTGTCGATCATCCAACACTAAAAGCATTATGGTGGCTGACGACTGCTACTACCATTTCATCTGCAATTAGTTATATAATTCATAGAAAAAATACTTACAAAATATACAATAAATACAGATGATAGTTTGTCAACTTTTGTATGTACCTATTATTATGTTTCTTATAAATAGTATTTATTATAGTACAAAAATGATAAGTTTTATTGATTACATAATAACACTCAAAATACATTTAGATTTTATGTGTCATTTCAATTCATTAATTTGTATGCGTAATATTTTATGTATACCTATATAGTTCAATAAATATTTTTAAGATTTAGTTTTTATGTTTGTTTAAAAAGAAGTTAAATAAATTATTCTATCTTTATAATTATGTGTTTAAAAAATTATACAAATTACTTAATTCCCAAATTATACATTTTATAGGTATTTCATTAATATAAATTTCAAATTGTTTAAAACATTTAGGTTGTTTAAAAAAAAGTTAACCTTTAATAACTTAAAAAGGATACTTACTATGTACTAATAACATTGTTTACACATAATAAAATTATGGTGTATAAAGTTTCACAAGATATCTTCTAAAAATGTACTTGCATGCATATAGTTGTGATCCTATGCCACATTTTTACTACGGTTTCTAATTTGTGCTCACAATTTTAGGGGACCCCTTATCTCTGTTATGAGTTAACGAAATAGAAATGTACATTACACCAGATAAAATTTAAGATTCGGGCTCTAATTAAATTTAACCAGGCCCTATGTGTGAGAATACATATAACTAATAAATACTGCAGTATTGCTATGAAATAGTTTTAACAGATTAATTCTTAAATTAGAGTAAAGAACTACCCAAATTGTTATACATGTTGCAACGTCAATATTTAATGGCACATACATAATATTAATTATTTATTATAAGATATAAACGATAATAAGTAATAACCCATAAAGTAAAAAATTAAAAAACTCAATTAGGTATATAAAATTAATACTATAAAAACAATATATATATTTTTTTTTCTGATCTCGATTTAATACACTAAATGTGCTGATGATTAAGCAAATTTAAAAACGCCAATTCTTCACTCTTGTGGAAACTGGAAATTACACTTGCGTATTACCAGTTCCTTAAACTTAACAATAATAAACTCGTTAAAGCATTTTTTTTTTTTTGAGCGATAAAAAAATATAAAATTATAAAGGTAATTATTTACAGGATTTAGTTATTACATGGCAAATTACATTAAGCCAAAATAATATACCGTAAATATACTTATAAATCTAATAAAAAATTAATTAGTCGAACAGTTTATAACTTTTTTTAACTTATTAGTAAACGTACGTATAGACATACAATATTTGAAATAACAATATAAAGTGTTACAAATAACAATATGTACTGTAGTTATCACTTATCTCTTTATATTAGGTTAATCAAACTTGATATAATTAGAAACACGCGCTATAGATAAATTTTAAATTATAATTATTATTCTGCAGGATTCGTTGCCCGCACTATAATATTATAAATTATTATACTTGTCTGCCGTCTAATATACGATTCTAAATAGGTACGCCAAATGATCATTTCGAAAAACCGTTCGTTATGGATTAATATGGTTTGTAAGTAATGACTTATTATTATAATATTACAGTAATAACAACAAAACAAATAAGGATAGTCAACAACATCATTGCGGCGGTTTACCAATAGTTGCGATGAGCGATCGCAATGGCTTGCGAGATACAGCGTGTTTACTGATTATGATCTGCGAGTAATTATTATGAATGAATATTAAAGTCGCATTAGTGGATCAGTTCCTGCCGTTTCTGACTTCAATCACCACGCCGCCGTTGTTGTTGCTGAACCCGTTGATTTTGCCGGCCACCGGGTCTCCGCCGTTGTACCGGCTCTTGGTCACCGTTTTCGTTTCGCTAGACTCGATGGTCTCCACGCGGCCGTCGCGAGGCACCGTCTTCTTGCTAAAGTTCTGCACCGTGTTGGTGACGCTCGGCCGGTACGGGTCGTCCGACTTGGACGTGATCCTCACCGTCTCCGAGTAGTCGTCCTTGCTGCCGCGGCGCGTCACGCTCCGGTTGGTCACCTCGCCGCCGTTGCTGCTGCGGTGGCTGACGGTAATCGGCGACGACGAATGGCCGCTGCTCGAGTACGGGCGGTCCACTGTTCTGGCTGGCGAGTACCGTTGCTGAGCTCGATCGTCTTGGTTGTTCAGTGTCTTGTACAGCTCCGGCGCGTGATCCATCAGACCCTTCATGAATATCTTCTTCTTGGGATCATCTCCGCGCGGCCTGTATGACCCACCGCCGTTGCTCAGCTCGCCCGGACTCGCCCAGCTGCCCGACAATGACCGGTACCCGTCGTCCACTCCCACCGACTGCAGATCCTTGGTGCTCCGGCTGATGCTACTCACGATGTTCGGACTTTTCAACGGCGGGGGTGACTCCTCCAGTCGGTGTAGCGTGCTCACCGAACGGCGCGAGAACTGTCCCGGGTCAGCGGGTTGCACGTTGAAGCTTTGGCTGCGCAACAGTGACGGCTTGGAGAATGTCCGCAAAGGCTTGGCCGGTCCGTTTGCAAACGATACGTTGATCATGCTGCCACCCGTGTTCGTAGCCGAAGGACGGTTCAACCCGTTGTAGTCGTTCTCGCGGGACGAATTATACACCTGCGAAAAAATCAAAACATTTGTATCACTGAATTATAAATTATAATTGTCTAACAAAACTCATTTCACACTTTTTTTAGCTTCATTTTGATTCATAAATGTCTGAAGGAACCCTAACCTGTGGGTTAGGCCAATATTTTGTCAGAGAGTAAAGCACTATCTATCAAACATTTTGTACACCAGATAACTAGACATTTTCAAAAATGAGTACATTAATTACAAAGGCGGTTTACCCTACTGTACTTTGTTTTTATTTGATTCGTAACGCCATTTCTACACATGTATACAGACTACTCACGACAGTACTAGCACTTAGCAGTACCCTGCATTTTTATAATATTAATTATACGCAAACTGCAAATACTACTTATTGTTTGAGGATACGCTTACTCAATTTCACATACTCATACATCTAACTTACATTTATATACTTTTTTTGGTTATTTTACGGTAGTACTAAAAACGATTTGTTTTATTTCAGTAAATTTATTTATATAAGTATTTGACGTTGGGTAAATGGAAAAATAAATTAGCTTCGTCATCGCTGTCAATACCTATAGTTTCAACAAACGACGTTCCTCTTTGGGTTTTAAATAACTTCTCCCGTAGCTATTTTTTATTTTTAATAACATTATAGGTGTAGTATGGGTATGGACTATGGTATCGTAAATAACATAATGATGCGGCGTTTTAATATTAATGTAATGTATATAAGCATCAAGCATGTATATTATGAAATGTGTAAATGTTTGTAATATCCAGAATTTAAGCTTAGTCCACTTGTACGGATAATAAGCCAAACATTGTAGTATTTTATAAATGTATAACACTAGACCTAACTAATAACTCTCAAGAACTCGATGCTGGTTAAAACGTTAGATGTGTTTATTTCTTACTTGTTTCTTTATTTTACTCTCGGTCCGAAGCTTCCTGGGCAACGTTTGCGATCTATCTGTCGTGCCGGTACTGTAATCGTCGGACAATAGGCGTCCTGTAGACTTGCTTAATCTGCCCAAAGTAGTGCTGGACGTGTTCACCGGTATGGTCCTGTGAACGACAACAATAATTAAGAGTTACAATAAATCATACACAATACCGGTTTGTATCAAATCAATAGCGTGCAAAATATTATTGACCGAGATAATCTGTTGATGACTTCGCACCCTTTAGCGATCGCTATCGGTTATTACGGGACTTCCATCGAACGGTGTGCACTTATTATGTCACTTCTGACCGCTCAAAGCAGAGGAACCCATAAAGTACCTAACTATCACGAAGTGACGGTTAGGTCAAACAGTTTTTCTCGTGTAAAAGACGGACCTCGCAGTCTTGGCCTAAATGTGTAAGCACATATACACTATGTTTATGTGAACCGAGAACGGCACGATTTTTCAACAAAACCACCAATCGTCGAAGCAACCCGATTATTATCACACACACATAATAAGTATACAGTGCACTCTTACAGGTATCGCATCTTGACGGCGTGACTTTAATACACATTTCTGCAGTATAATATTATTATAATAAGGGTCTTTCGGTCTTTGCAACGGATAATGCACCTACATAGTTGCATGTTCACATTTGTCGGGTGTCCCATTAGTTTGGAAACCGGTTTCTATATTATGCAAACGGGTGAAATTTCTAAATTTGTTGAATATCCTGTAAAGAGTCTACTTGGGACAAAGATCTATAAGACACGGGTCTAGCTTAAAAATGAGGTTCTATTTTTTACCCATTAAAAATAATATAGACTATAACCAGAGTTGATAAAATTTTTTTGGCATTTTTTTGAACAAGGAAAAAATTTACTTGTTTTTTTTTTTAAAGTTATTGTAAACATCTATTCTAAATAAAATACCCTTAAATTCTTAACGTAACTACCCCGCCAATAGGCAAGAACAAATTATTGTAAAATTGATATATTATTATAAATTGATTTATAGTACGTTATTTACAATCTTTTCATATCGCGCCTACGTCTAGCCAGCGAGGATTGTTATTTTTCTTCTACGCGTTTTCTGACGTTTTTTTATGATACAGAAAAAATAAAAACAGTAAGTCGGATATTGCCGGATTTGGCGTTTTCGCGTTGGAGTACGTATTTCTGCGATGCAAAACATTAAGTCTCGGCTAAGGATGTCGTCAGAAAATTAGGCTCTGTGGGCCCACGTGGATATGAATTAATTGCGAACCCCCCTTCCCCTACTCCCCCCCGATGACCAGAGCACTCCCCTTCGAACACATAATTGGTGTATGTATGCAAATGAGAATACACCTGTAGGTAATAACAATAAGATATATATATATATATATATAACATGCGATATGACCTTGAACACCGAATACGGATAAGGCCCAAGCCGGGAATACGACTAATATATGTGTCGTACTCACGCGTTTCAAAACTAGCTCCTTACACAAAATATTAATGGAAAATAAATGAAACAAAAAAAATAGGCTGGCCGTCTTGAAGGATAATATTATACCAACAATTAGCTTTAGCTTCTCGAGAGGACGCAGTGTGACCTTACAGAAAACCATATTAAGAGTTAGAGCAGACGAATATTATTTAAAAACTATTTTTGAGTGAAAAGTTAACCATTAGACGTGAAAATCTTCTTGTGTGAGAAATTCCAAATTTTCATTTTGTTAGGAAAAATGAGTGCATTTCAAAAGGATTAAGTTGCTAATAGTTTGAATTAACGATTTATAATAACATTTAAGCTCGAGTGAACCTTTAAGTGACAAAATTGATAGTAAACCAATAATAATTAGCAAAATCGTACATGCAATAAGATTTTTTTTCAGTATTTAGATCTTAGTGATTTAAAAATTACATCATCCAGATTTTTGCACACGAAACACGGAATCATTATTCATAGTAATATGTTAATTTAGTTTTATATTATTGGGTAACATTGACCAATCGACAATCAGTTTTAGTGTCTTTATCGATGAGAAAAATTGCCAACGTGACACGATGACAATCGGGTGTGAAATAGGACTTACATACGTCAAACTTTTTGATTCCTTACAAAAAGAACGATTTCCACCGAAAAACCAACATCAATAAATAATAATATGATTATTATATATTTCTCCGAAAATAATTCAATATAATAATCTATCCGAATTAATCAGCTAATAATTATATTAATAATTACTGTTATTATATCTTAACCGTCATGTTATACGCATATTATATTTTAGCTATCCGAACCGAAGTATTATAGTGACCTCCTTGAGGTACATATCTAACGTGTTATTACATTTTACTTTGTTTACACAGTTGAAGAATCTGCAGAAAATTATTGTTACCTTGAGAACCGCTGACACGGAAAATCTGTAATTGGACAAACGGATAATAATATTATAAACCATTTCTTCATTCCTATCACTTGTTGTTGTTTTGCAAAAACATAATAATATTATTATAGACATACCCACTTGTTACAATAACTACCAACGCGAAAACCGCCATGTATGTATTCTATGTAAAACGAATTTAATATAAAATCTATATGTCTTTTGTATGGTGGAGTTATTTCTATACCTATTACTGTGTGACTCGCATATTATCAAAAGGGTTCTTTGTATATAGTGCAGAGTACAATACCAGTGCAGTATAGTGCAATACCAGACAATCGTACCTAAGTTTTTCTGGTACTTTTAACTGCTGCAACATAAATCACAAAGGTGCCTGTTGATTTTATACAGATTTTTGCATGGTTGAATTTCTAGAAAATGTACAGTTTATAAGAGTAAAATTATTCAGGTATTCGGGTAGAGGGAAAATCTAATAAAAAAAGGCGAGGCGGCTAAAGTTATTGTAGCTAGGGTCAATCTGAAGTTAACAAATTCGGTACTTCATCTCAAAAATCACGGATTTAACATACAGGCTATTGCTTATATACTTCCGACTCATTTATATGTCAGTACACGGTAATTAAAATGAGTACCTATGTATGTCTTGGTAAATACTCGTTAATTTAATGCATTTGTTTATCCTATTTTGCCTAGCAGATAAGTGAACAGCTATTATAGCGGTCGCTTTATACATTCGCCACTGAAAGTCACTGACTACAGTTTAGGTTATGCATGCATAACCTAAACGGTAAATCGGTCAAACGTTCTAAATGTTACATAAATTAAAAATGCGTTTTGAATTCATCATCAAATTAACCATCAAATTTATAATAACCAAGTCCTAACCGTACTAGGAGAAATTATATTCGTACATATGATTTAACTGTTACATTTCATTCAGTATGTAACATTAAATATTTCTATAATAAATGTCCGTTGTGGAATCTCAACAACTTGTTTGTGTCACTTGTTTATGTTCTTTTTATTTGTGACATAATACTGAAACTATTTAGGTTGAAATATATTTAAATTTTAGAATATCAAGTACAACATTAATGCCGTTGCTCGCAAGTCTCTTAGACCCTTATTGTTGGATAAAAGTTGGCGGTCTCTAACATTGAAATACAAAAGTACATATTGCCAAGTACTTTATTTTAACAAACAATTCTAACACATACCTTTGAGAGTTTTTAAGGAAAAGATAAAATGTTTGTTACGTCATCGGGGCATAACCCTAAACAAACTTTCATGGCTAGACGTTTGCACAAGTGAAACTTTGTTGTCCGCCTACACATATGGACCGAGCACCCCTCCTTGGGCCCGAGGGGACTCCGCTTTCGTTCGCACACGCAAAAAAAAAAAAAGTGATACTGCTTGTACCTAATTAATTATAAACGCTTCGATGGCAACACGCCGAACGATCACCGGCACACCTTGTGCGAAATTTTTCATTATATTAAATTATTTACTATTTCTTTCCCCCCTCCTCCCCTCCTTTCCTCTCCACTTCGAGTTTCACGACCATTTTAAGGCGTCAGCACACGGCACTGACGGATTTGCACGCGTTTATCAATATATTTTCGCCCGTGCACAAAAATGAAAAAGCACTGATCGGAACGCATAAATAACATACAGCGCGTCTTGTACGATTAAGATATTATGTACCTATTCAGCGTTGGCGTTACCGACAGGAGTGTCTCCCATAGAATGCTAATATCTTACAATATCTAACGCGATATTGTGTCTCGATCCAATAGCCTTCGCTGCTCTGCTCTGCGATTAAATAAATAACAAAACGATTAACAATGGATACTTAATAGTTGATGAGTTACACGGTATGGCAACGTATAGGTTAATCTAGTTGTGCTTAACGTTTCTTTTTCACTCGTGGCAACTGTACGCTGCTTACAATGTACTACCAAAGAGTAATATTTTCAACTTGTCACAAAAATAGTGTTTAAATGTTTGCCTCGACTAAGCAATATTCAATTGTCGATATCGGGAAATACAACAATGTACTTTCGATTTTGACGCAATTTAAGTAAATTAATATCTAGTTTAAGATTTAATCAACACGATTTTATTTACCTCGCCCAGGCTTGCTTCATAATATAATTAAAAAATTATAATCCTTAGAACATAGAATTATTAAAATGTTATTTAAATAGAAAACCGAAATTTGTTGGTAACCATTCAAATTATGCCAACACCCAGCGAATCAATTTTGAATAAGTAATATATTATACGTTTTTAATTTCAATTTTTTTCTTTTGTTTTTAGATTACAAGGGAAAATTGGGTGCGGGAAACCTAAACATTGTTTAACTAAAATGTGTTACACTTAACAGAAAGCATAGGTATTAGTGTGTTTAAGAATTATAGCGTGATAAATAAAATATGATAACAAGTTTTAATACAATCTTATTGTGTTACGAACCTAAAGCAATCGTTAGAAGTTATAACAATAAATATTGTGTGCTTTTGTTCAAAACTGCGACAACTTGGAAATGATTAATACTAATACGTTTTTAATAGTTTTTTTAATTTATTTGCTACAAAATTTAATGTAATACATTTTAATAGTCATTATTTAAAAAATAAGAAATTCTTTATGTTATTGCAGCTTTGAACTAACTCGTTAATGCATGAGCAAGCAGTGTTTGCGTGCAGCGACAAAAACCTACCTATACATTTAAATATTTTATGGTCGACTCACGATTATAAATTGTGTTAAAAATATTGACATTCAAATATTGTTATTTTTTTGGTAAAATAAAATATAGTAGGTAATTTTAAGCGCTAAAATAATATTTCAAAACGAACATAACAACAATAAAATGTATTTTTCAATAATTAAACAATAACATAATAGTATAGCTTATAATGTTATAATGCTTATAATGTTTTTTTTAAATACAATATTTTTAATACAACAATTGATTAACGTACTTTTCAATTATAACTATAAACATTATATTAGCTAAATATATTTATATAAAAGTGAATTAAAATTAATTTATTAAATTTATCTACAGCCTCTATAGTTTCACGAATGTTTGAGCAAATAGTATCCAGTAGTATCAGGCGTAGTAGTTATTTTTTTTATAGTATAATAAATTAATATAAAGTTGTTAGCAGTTTATTAAAAACAACGATACGAGTGAGCGTCAGGGAAATAAGAAAAATAATAAATAAATACATTGTTTGGAAATTAGCATTAAAATCGTGACAAACGATTTGCCGTAAAACTTCTATTTAAAAAAAAATTATAATAAAAAAAATTGTTAGAGAAAAAGTAAAATTTACGAAAACAAATTAACTGTCGCGTGTCATTGTTAATGTTATTAATAGCGGTAACAAAACTACGGGTGAAGGATAATAATTAAAAGCGATTTGTCGTTACCTTTGAACGTAGTAAGTGGATCTAGACTGTTCGTGACCGTTGGGGACGCCGTTGGACTTCTTCTGGTGTTTTCGCTTGTACGTGGTCACGCCGTCGTATTCCTTCTCGCGACCGTAGATACTTCCGCCAAACGGATCCTCGCCCAAGTAGTAACGCTGGACTCCGTTGCCGTTGCTGGTGATGCCGTTCATTGCGCGTGACGGTGACGGTTCGCAACTAACGTCGCGTTTGTTCGCTGCGGTCCGTCCGTTGCGGTGTCGGTCCAGCGTTTGCGTGCTGCCGAACAACCGCTGGTGGCGGTCGGCCGAAGCGCGTCCGTCGTCGTAACTCCTGTAGGCGTCGTCGTGGTGGTCGTCGTCGCTGTAGCCGTCGCTGTAACCGTACTCTCCGCCATTACTCGGCACCGGTTCTCCCGCCGCCAAAGCCACCGTTTTTTTGCGGTTTTTCTTCCGGTCGGCGGCGTCCTTGTTGCCCGTGAACTTGCTCACCAGCCTCCGAAACGACTCACCGAACGACTTTTTCCGGTCTTGCTTTCCCGGCTGTTGCGCCAGCCGCTGTTGTCCAGAAGCCGGTGGTCCGGCCTCGGTGGCGAATCTAGTCTTCTGGTACACTTTTTTGGCCCGTCCCGCCGAACCGTTGCTGGCCCGACGTTCCGGTTCCGGCGAGTAATCCGGTTGCGGTTCCGGTGCAACGATCTTGTCCGACGACCGTCGCCGCCTGTCCCACGATCTGTACGCGTCCGGTGATTCGGGCGTCTTGGAACGTCTCTCTGATGACCGGTCCGTCTGCGAACAAAAAAAAAAAATTCAACGTTGACATCGATATTGTAAGAAAGTACCCTTGCACCCCCCTGAGGATTCCTTTGAATTAAAATAAATATTTTCTACCATTGTTCCTAGATTTCCATCAGAATTTATATAACAATAACTCTAATTTATTACATCTAAGCTTGCATGGCAGCTATGCAAGTTTGTTAATAAATAGCTTAACAAAATAGGTTACTTTTTTTTTTATCGTGTAACTGTATTACATGTATAATTTATTAGATTGTCGTTCTGAGAAAACGTACGCATAGGTATTAGAACTTATTGTTTGTAACAGACAACAGTGAACACGATGAAGATGTTGCGTAAATATATTTTGCCATTTTAGTCAGACGCAATTATTTTCTTTAAATATGTGACGATGCCCACTTGTATTTTGTTCTATAGCGTAACCTTCAATGTCAATATTATGCCATTATACAGTTTCTACATTATCTATTCTTATGGAGGAAGTGTATTTTGTAGTTTTATTCTACTGAAAGTTCAACACCTACCTACTTATGCGTTACAACTGATTACAGTAAGTATACCTATTGGTACATAAAAAAAATAATAAAAACAAGAGTATATTTTAGTAGTAGAGTAATATTACAAATTATAAGAACATTGTTACAAAACATTTATGCAATTATAACTAGTAATTAATACGTGGAACACCTACGGTCTGACTACGGAATACTTGTGGAGTGTTGACATTATTAGGATGATTGATTAGACATAAGCTTTACGCTTAGAATACATTATGTGATTACATACAAGTTTTACTTGACAGGAATAAATTGAGATCGAATTACACCATTTCCTAAAATTATAGTGATTACATTTTTTAAAATTGAATAAATTAGTTTAAATATTATACAAGTGAAAATGATTTAAAGTTAAAACATAGCTGTATAACAACTGTTAAATATATAAATTACAGTATATAGTGATATTCAATTCAACGGCGACGGACTGACGACTCGTACCGAAAGCGAGTGCGCTAAGAAACTATATCATGATGGCAACGTTGGAGGTCCAAGGCCTGAGTTACACGATGATGATGATAGTGATATTCAAAAGGTTTTTCATTGAAAATAATTAATTTCTTTTTATAAAATTGCAAAATATTAGTATATGAACAGTATGATAATATATTCAATAATATAAGTACTTTTATGTCACAAATTTGTTAAAGTAAAATAATGTTTGATACATTTTTAACATTATAGGTTCATGCCATTTTTAAAATAGAAAGTATGATTACTATATGACCACTGTTAGTATACTATAATTGTTTACTACAGCAATGAACAAATTTACATTAGTAACAAAACTGTATATTCTGTACATTAATTAATTATACCGCGTGTGTTATTGGTATGGATAAAAATAAAACAAACATAAATTGTTCTAAAACCTAACCAAACGACAGTAGTCCCTATTTTGTGTTATATAGCTTATGTAAGCGACACATAGAACCTTCACGCATATTACCGTGGTGTATCCAGAATCAAATTACAGTAGAAATTCCAGAAATATTTCAAACAGACGGCTATTATTATGTTACCGTCTACTGATGATCCTGATTTGTGTGACTCAAATCTCATTTAACAAAATAACATTTTTATTAGATATTAAAAAAAACCACTATAGAATCATAAGGGATAACGTGAACAAATGTAAATAACATAAGACTATCCAAATCCTCTAGTAAGGAATAAGTATTAAAACATTTTAGTTGTTATTATAGAAAAAAAATGTATACACTACTTATGCATTTACCTACCCGATTCGTTTGCTCTAAAAAAAAGGTTACAATTTTCCCTTCCAGTCGTCCAGGTATTTTGTCATTAGAATTCATCGGTGTGGGCTATTGAACATGTTCTACGTGGTAGTATTTTTTATTAGAATATTTAATTTCCCCCCTCTTGTAGTCCATATTAAAATTCCAACCAACTACTGTTTACACTTTGTTAATACCTACTACCAGCTCATGTTTTTATTATTAACTGCGCCCTTGCGTGTTGTAATTTTCTCGATCCGTATGAATATACACTGAATACTGTGTAATTTATCCTGACCAATAGGCGTCCGCCCCAACATACCTGAACACATCTACTTTCTCTTTACATTTGCGTTTTATACCTTTTTCGGTAGGCATATCGCATTTGTTTGATTCAAATAAATTCTATCCTAGAATCGAGATTCGTGTACCGCGTGGCTCGCGATGCGAATTCCATATCATTACCGTTTCGCTTCTGTTGGCCTGTTATTAAAATATTAATAATACAACATAATTATTATTATTGTTGTTGTAGTAATATTTTGTACCGATATCGGTTCGAATACTTTCATATTTCGGTAAAAGCGTGGTGTCGCGTCACGTACACAATAACCTCGGCCCGGTCGAATATAATAATATCGTGTACGTTTATTAGTAATTATACACGGACATCTTTCGGTTTGGATAGAACGAGGAAAATAAAAGAGAGCTACTCGAAGAACAAACTATTCGTTCTCAGGATAAGGACAATTGATCTCCCCTCTGACTTCGGTTAGACCGCTAAGTATTGCGCCTTAATTGCGCGTTGTGGCAACCTATGCGTTGTAGTAGCTTACCGGGGAGGGAGCTCAAGAATCAACACACACCAATGCGGTAATCACATTTAAATCCTAAGCCATATCAGCGGCAACCCCGCGGCCGTAATGCGTCGATGATAATTTCTGATTAGATTTAACGTCTCACCTGAACGTATCCGCCGTTGTGGTGGTGCGACTGACTGTATCCGTTAGACGACGAGTTGCGGGCCGACAGCTTTTCTTTGGACATTTCGTAACCCTGAACTCTTTTCTGGACGGTGTTGAACAACGGCAACGATTCCAGCTCGTTGACCGCGCTCTCGTTGACTTCAGCGGCCCTTTGTTCCTTTTTCCTCCTGGCGGGCCGCACGACCGGCGCCGGGTCCTTAGCCTTCCACTCGGATACGCCTTTGAAGTAACCGTTGACCGGCGGCGCGTCCGTTGACTTCATGGTGACGTTTATGAAACTGTTGGACGTGGTCCTCTGCGCCCGGTCGTCTTCCTCTTCTTCGGAGAGGTTGCCGGTCGACGACCTGGTCGACTCACTGCCGAAATGGTGTTCGAGCCATTTGGCCGTTTCCACCTGTAGGAAATCATACATAAATACCATCATAAAGTGACTAGCACACGGTGTGTCAAACTTTGTGTACTTACCTTTCGGGTACGTTCCTCTTCGTCGAAGTCCGCCAACGTCTTGCCGGCCACCGCCGGCTGCTGTTGCTGCCTGTCGCGCATCCTGCGAATCCTTTCAGACAGGCTCTCCCAGCCCGAGGTATCGTTTAACATCAACTGTTGGTCCACGTCGCCCGACCTGCCCCCTTCCTCGTTGATCGCTTCGTACCGCATTTTCTCACCGATCTTCTCGCCGTCGGCCAAGTATTCGATAAGATCCTGGTCCTTGGTCTTGACGTAACGATGCGAACTCTCGCGAACCGAATCCTGTAGCGCCGACGTGGGTAATGGCACGCTGTCCGGTTCGTCAACGCCGTTCACCTGAGGCAACGAATGTTTTTTCAATTATTAAGCGCGAGAAATTATCAATAAAATAATTAAAAAAGAGTCAAAAACTGTGAACTAAATGCTATGGTAGTGTTTTACGCAGAGAGCACTGTTTGTCGTAGAACGTTACACGTACTAATACGACTGAAGCTCATTTAGTGTGTCGCACATGTAAACGAGTGGAATATTAAAAATGTGTTTAATGAGAACCGAGCAATACAACTAGTATGGAATGCAAATTGAAACTATACTGAAACAAGTGCCAAGTATAGTGAAAGGACGCAACAACGCCAATAAATGAAAAGAAAGGTAGTAAAAAAAAAATTGTACGTTAAAATATACATTTAGCAATAACGGTAAGGGTGATATCAATTGTAAAATTCAACCAGCTTTAGAAATACAGTTCTTTATTTAGGTGACACTAATTTATATTACAATGTAGCTATCTGTGGAAATCGTAGTTAATATTTTTAGCTTCGTTACGGAATTGTGATTTTAAAAGGCCTTTTTAAAAAAACTTGTATATTTATTGCCAATTTCCGCTGCTTACGGATTTCATAAGCCGTACGACTTAAGGAAACCCATATACGATTCAGCCTCAGAGACTAATGATTTTAGCTGGCTCTCTTAGGATCAACTTGCCTCTGGCTCTAGCGGTGTAAACATATCCGTAAAATCGTACGGTAAATCGTGATACAAACTAAGCAGTTTTTACTATTTAGAGCATTCCTTTTAAAAATCAATGCAAATCCAATCACTCGTCAGCTTTTTTTTTTTTTTTTTTTATCACTTGTCTTTGTATTGCTTACAATTAACACTGAGCCTCCAAAATCCCAAGGGCGGCCTTGATAGAGAGTGTTATTATTACCGACTTAAAAATTACCAATATAACTAATATTTGAGAATATTATTAAAAAATATGGAATATTTTTAAGAGTATACCTAATACAATTTGTTAAACCCGCATTCACTTATTTTATCGGCTAAAAACAACAGTTATGTTCTATTCCTCTGTAGTAAACGAATGACATTCAAGGAACAAATTTTGCCCTTACTTGCTAACCGAATACACGTGAATCATGTGCTTACCTCTTCGTGTTCGGTAGTTTTCGACGTTTCCGTGACAATTTTACCGTCTTTTTGCACCTCCCTCGTGTGCCTCGTGTCTTCGGTGTCCGTGACCTTTTTGTTTTTGCTGCTTTGATGCGTCACACGGGGCCCGGTACTGTTCACGTGTACCAATTTGTGGTTGGATTCTTCGAGTGCCTGTCGAATGTCTTTCTTACTCTGCACGGCTTCCTGGTACGCCTGCAACGACAAAAAATTTACAGCGCATTAACACAGCGATTTTTTTTCTGGTCTACACTGGATAGAGCTGTTTACCGCAGGATTATGTCATGGTATTTTTTTGTTTCTGGTAAAAGTGAAAGCGAAACCCGAGAGATAATACATTCGACAAGTGATCGGCTTTTAAATACTGAAATATCTAAGATATAGAAATGGACACAATGGACGGCGGCAACTTCGATTCCGGTGATTGGGATACGCACGATATAATGATGCGTGCCCGTGTCTTACAACACGACACGACAATAACCTAACCGAACCGTTCTCGTTAACTGTTCATTTACGACTCGGGTGCATGGTCGTTGCTTAACGACTTACAAGGTCACTATCACGTGCTGCACCGAAGGACGCGCAGCGTGAACAATAACTTTTATATTAGAATATCACCACCTAACCTAAGTATGCGCGCATTGTTAGGTACCTCAAATAAACATATAGGTGTAGATATATATATTACACATATCGTCATTATAATATTATATCCAATATGAAAACGATCGGATTCGGACTGGGGAGCCCTTACCTTGGGTATTGATTAATCAACACAACGCTAGCTGCCGGCGCAGGGCTAATGATGCTCATACAGTATAGTATAAGTATAATGATATGATATCTCCGTGTAGCTGTGTTTAACTAGCTCGGGGGATGGCGGGTCTTGGATTAATACCGCAGACAACGCAATCTTACTGCACTACTACTCAAATGTATGGCCGGGGTTATGTTGTTATTGTGATTTCTTTTAAAAATCTTTTATTCCTAGTACTTATAGTCGCGCGTTGATCGGTCGAGTGTTTGATGTTGTCATTCAATTAAAATTCTTCGGGACCGACACCGGTGGGGGGTACCTAACATTCACGTCGAACAATCCGCAAACTCGACGGGTGCGCGAATAATTTGCCATTGTGACGACAGTGATCGTTTTATAGATCCGTCCATGTATTCGCGGTTCATTGATCTGAGTGGTCCGGCCCAAAAAAGTGCCCAAACGGCACTTTCACCACGCGATTTGACCTTTACCGGACCGGAGCGACTTCTAATATGAAGTTTTTAAGCCGACATAATACAAACTAATTTGTTTAAAACAAACTACAATGTTGTTTATGCCCAAAGGAACCGATAATCGTTAAAGCCGAAGTGTAGACACTAACTTATTTAGTAAAATATAGAAAAGAAACAATAACGCTAACGTGGTTTTTGTATTTAGAATATTTACAGCTTTAGGGGGTATTCGTGTAAAATTCCAATTTTTCATCTTCATTTTGGACAAACGTTGCTTTGCTTACACAAATTATCTTTGAATGACATCGCCTTTTGTATACTTTTCACACCAACTAAGCGCGAATTGCCATACACCTACACTAGACTGTTCTTCTTCATCTCTTCAACGTTATAACGTAGCCTCTAAACTATTGAACTTTCTAAAATGCTTCTTTTCATACATCTCTTCTGAACTTCATCCGCAGTCTTTCTTACATTTTCCAAACCAGCTTCGAAATATATTCTGTTAGGTTCGGTCCAAATAACGTGCTATTGATCACTTTTAAGTTTTTCTTTTTGTTTGCAGAATAATTATTAAGCTATGAAACCCATTGATAAAAGTTTGGTTTTTCTTTGATACTGTAACAATTACGGGTTGGTTCCCAGCGCGTTATTTGGACCGATCCTTCATTTATTAAGTTTTAGGGTTTTTTATAATATGCAAATGTTTGTGTTTAATACATGTTTCCCGTAGTGACGATAGGCGTCCCAAACACACACACAAGTTGGTGACAATGTAGGCGACCGACTCTGTAAAGTATACCGTTAAGGTGCCATTTGTATTGTGATTGGTTTTTTCGGAAAATACTGATTCCAAAGACCCATTAAATTCGTTTTTCCGGCTAAGTCATTTTCCAAACAACTAGAGTAATTCCGTGTCTCCCCGGTCGTTCCTCGATCTGACTGCAAAACTAATTATAGTAACAAAGGCCGCGGTAGTGTTTCAGTTCCAATATTACAATATTACAATACAATATTATATACAATTATACGCTACCGCCTTGTTTGTAATCTGTACCCAGAGACCTTATGGTTTCATAAATGGAAGTTAGAAAAAAATAATATTAGAACGGTCTACAAATATGTAGTAGGTATCAAACTATATCAACTGCAATCTTTGCAGCTCATGCCGAATAAAATTGCTTTCTACACAGACTCATTATCGAATGTCTCCCGGCTCCCGCACCATATTGTTATGGCCACACGCGAATGACATAAAATTATACGTGACCGTGTATAGACACACAAAAGGCGGTTTCAATTATGGTATTGTATCTGTTTTAATTATACGACTGTTGTGAATTTATACTACCAATCGCCCGCGAGATATTGGTGAAAATCTATGCTCGATCTACATTATGTGTATACTGGAATAAAGCATAACATGTAAGTATTACCAAAGTACTTATTACGGCCGTGATAGCACACTGACTGATCTCGGATCGCAAAATGTGCTGATAGCCAGTTTAATGTCATCAATTGCTTATCAGATCAATAAGAGTCACTCGAAACAAGACCACTTTGGGTCCTGAACTCGTTGGTGCTTTACGAACCACGACCTTGCCATTTCACGTCAAGCGAAAGTCAAATTTTGGGAAAATTGGATATTTTTTAGTAGGTCTGTCCAAGACAAGGTGACCCTTGTGAAACAGTAGCCATCTACACTATTGACTGGGCTGTTATTTTATGTAAACCTAATCTGATTATTGTAAATCCAATGTCTTATAAAATCTCTTGAATTGTTTTGTAACCTAATTACTATTGTTTTAGAAAAAACGTTTGGATTTTTAGAAATTTAATGGGATTCGACGATTTAGGTAAAGTGAACGTTTTTTTATTGTTTTCGGCCCTGAATTGACAACCTCGAAACGACGATCTATGGTGAAAATGAGATATAACTGTATCCAATGCACTATCCACGACAATTTGAGGACAACAATTTAAACCCCGTAACACAATGTTATTAATGTATTTTCTACTATTATATTATAAGTGCATGATAAACTATACATAGCAACGTTTCTACAGTGCGTTCTCGTGGAATCGCATCCCCGGGGCTTTGAATTCTTTCTTAAGTCCGGTCACGGAATATGTAAGTATACTTTCGCGATAATATTTATTACGGCCGAACCGATCGACCGAGCCTCGAGTATATTTTATTAACTCTAATAAACTATACAAAAACAGTAACCGCACAATCTACTGCTACAATATAGACCATAGTGTTTTACATCGGCAGATACCAGTAATGTCTTTATGTCGGCTTCATATACAAGATTGTGACTCGTGACGGCATTTTGATGTATTATCACAATCAGACGGACACATATTAACGCCTAGTTTTTACGGTCAAAAACGGGCTTATCCACATATTATACAGTGATTATAGGCCTGGGCGGTACAGAGAGTTACTCATCGCCCAGGGTAGAAATATAAGCTGCATCGCCGGCAATGACCTTAAACGGAGCTAATTATCGTAAATATAGGAACGCACGGAATTATTATCGTTTTTTTTCTTAGCGGACGAAGCGAAACGTATAATATTGTTCTATGTATATACTGTAAATAAAACGGCAAATGCCTCGCCGCAGAGACTTCAACGACGTGTGAATACGTATAACGGTAGACCATGAAGGTGGCTGTCACCGGGAGTTTTTGAGGGCTGTTGGCTGTTGGAAAAAAAATGGTTTCAAAATGTAAAATTTCATTAAACGATCATCGGCCATTATGTTATCGATTTACGAATTCTCGGTACTACGCGAGTTACACAATATAATAATAACGATAATATGTTAGACGTGAAATATAATATTAAAAAAGGCATACGACAACGACCGCGTATAAGTGCGCGTGCAGTGTAAAGCCGACCATCGACACACAATGTGCATACATACAGACACATTGCTATTCGTTCGCCTCCGGTCCGAATCCATTATTCACGAATCGAACACGGCAGACGGCATAGAAGTCGTTGGACTCGTCGGTGGAAACTTGAACGCACACCTACACGGTGCCGGAGACTATAGTGCTTGTAGGTACGAGTACAACCAAAGAAACCCCTTTGTCGCGGTGAAAACGGCGTTTGGCCGTACAGTGTCTTAAGGTAAATCTGAACACAAGCACTGCAGCTGCGGTACAAAAGTGCAATTCCTTTAAATCAATAAAAAAAAAAAACAAAATTGAAATTCGTAATTCTCGCCTGTTATTTATTAATTTGGCACGCTAAATGAAAAATAAGAAAGAAACTCGATTAGACAGCAGAAAAACTGTTGGAAATTCGTCTGTCTGCGCATATTAAAATCAAGGGTTTTTTAAACATAATTTATGCGACCTATTCTTTACGACGTTATTATCGAATTATAGATTGTTATTGTTGTCCGGCGGATTTTTGTCACCTTCCTAAAATATAATATTTTCGGGGAGAGACAATATAATTGATTATCGCAGTTGACATTATAATATTATAGGGATATAAATGACAATATAAAATATACCATTATTTTCAGGTCTCCAAGTTTGAGTAGTTTTCTGTCAACAAATAATATATGAAGCTCTATAAGAAATACCTTTTTCAACTATTGTATACCGTGCTCGGCAACAACTTTGCTGTTTGCACTTTTGTTAAGCTTCAATAAGTATGCCTGGGGTCCGTATGTATACTATCGTACATATAATTATTAATCTTTTGTCTACTAAATTCTAAAACTCTTGGGTATTCTTTCGTTTTAGACGTCACATCAACAAACCAATTTCGGATTTTAATTCTGTTCATCAACCATACTTGAAGTGACGAGATCCAAAAGGATACAAATGACGTTCTTTTCGAAAACAAGTTTTTGATTATGCAATGGTTACATACTTTTGCATATCCGTGTTGCTAAATTTATATTAATGAACGGACTTATATGAAATCTGTTTATACC